CATTTCCCTCCCCAAATCTCCTCCCTTTCCTCCTTCATCTTCTTCTGTAAGGATGATTGTGTTATCCTGGAATCAGTCCTACCCTCAGTTGCAAGGCTAATAGGTGGCTTAGGTAATGTTCCCTGTCTCTAAAGCTTGACCTGGAAACTTCAGCCACATTCACCATTGCCTGGGTGACCCCATGACTTCTGTTAGAAAGTCTTAAAGACAGGTTAAAAGGAATAAGATTTCCTCTCCACCATCTACTCTCTCTTTCTCCTTCTTTTGGCCATTTTATATTGGCTTTGCTCTACCTTTGAAGGTCACCAAGACAATGGCTAGACAATGGTGAATGAGAATGTTGCAAAATGTAACATTTCAAGACTTACTCCTTTGGCTTCCAAGGTTCTTTATTCTATAAAAGTTCACCACATTCAAAGAGCTTATTATATAAGCTTCACAGAGTCAGAATCCTTCCTTTTTCTACCTCCTGCCCAGAGAAAAAGATTGCCATTCTGACCCATTTGTCTGTCAGCTTGTTTTGTTTGAAATAATGCAGTTCCAAGAATAATACGTCATTACTTCAAGAATGAAGATCCAGCTAGGCACGGAGGCACAGCCCTCTGTAATCATAGCTACTCAGGAGACTGAGGCAGGAGGATCAAAAGTTCAATTTAGGGAGACCCTGCTGGGCTGCGGATGTAACTCAGTGCTTCCTAGATTCAATGCCCAGTACTGCCCCCCTCAAAAGTGAAGATCTGTAGTGAAATCTGCAAGGATGGTTAAATTAGATGATCATTAAGCTCCCATTTAACTCTTTTTTTTTTCAGTACCGGGAATCGAACTTGGGTCCTTTCGCTTCGCAAGGCAGGTGGCGGAACCACTGAGCTAAATACCCGGCCCAAGCTCCCATTTAACTCTTAGGAACCTCTGATTCTAATACAGAGCGTTTACCATGCCTGGTATATATTGTTTGATTTCCTGCATTTAAAGGCATGGAAAATGTTAGAGAAAATATCAGTCTCTTTCCTCTCTCTCTCTTATTTTTTTGGTACCGGGGATCGAACTTGGGTCCTTGTGCTTGCACAGCAGGCGGTGAAACCACTGAGCTAAATCCCCGGCTCTCTTTCTCTTAAAATGAATACCTGTAGTCACATTATAGAAGAATTTTAATTGGATTTTTCAGTCAGAAAACTACTTTGGGTCAGTTGAGTAAACTAACCATTCTAATAATACGTGATAATATAATATCTTTTATCTTACTTAACATTTATAGTTTTACTTTTTTGTGATACTGGGGACTTGAATCCAGGGCATTCACGGTGAGCTACATCTCCAGCCCATCCCCCTCCTTTTTTTTTTTTTTTTTAAATTTTGAGACAGGGTCTTCCTAAATTGTTCAGTTCCCCAGGCTGGGAATGAACTTGCCATCCTCCTGCCTCAGCCTCCCAGAGTACAGGATTACAGATGTGCACCACCACAGCCTACCTTACTAAACTTTTCTTGTATGGCCCTTGATCTGTCTTAATTCACCACTTAGCTAAATGAATTTTTCTTTATTCCATTTCAGGATCATCTACTTTCAAGCAAGAATTAACATAGTGACCAGGACTAAACAAATGCATAAAAGAGGATGAACTGTACCTCGTTCAGCCCTTGGGGGACCTCTCCTGCTAATACTACTGCTACACTGTCAAGATTCAAGACTGATCCAATTTGAGCAGGGCTCAAAACAATTTACAAAAGAGAGTCTTATGATAAAACAGAGCATCTGGTGCATCCAGTATTTAGAGTTGTTCCATAAGTTAAGGAGTTGGGACACGCAAGCTACTATACAGAAAATATACACTTGGTTTCTTTCACGACTTTTGCCAATGATGGCTTTGCCTGGTCTCTCCAATAACTCTACTGGGATGACAGTAGAGACAGTAGTCCCTTCAGTAATTTATGGCTGCAGTCTTGCCAAGTGTTTGCCATGCATGAAGAAAGAACAGGCCAAGAGGGGTTAGGGATGTAACTTAGCATGAAAGAGAGGGAGAAAGAGATGCAGAATTTTCCAGTCAACGCAAATTGTCTGACTGTTCCAGTAGGGGCTGATGTCAGGACAGTATGCTTTAAAAAGGGCAAATCTAATCAGGAGAAAAAGAACCACACAACTGAGAAATAAACAGACACAAATTGACACCATAAAGAAGAAATGCTAACAATATGAAAGATATTTAATCTCATTTTTTGATTAGAATTGCAAAATGAGGGCAGAAATGGAAAACAATAACTATAATATACAGTATGGTAGGGTAGAGGAAACAGAGCATCTTGTGTATTGTTGGGGAAAAGACAAATTAGTACATATTTACTGCAGGGCAATATGGCAATCTTAAAAATCCTAATAAGTGTACCAACTCCTATCATAGCTTCAGAAATTTATTCTGAAAATTTTGGATAAGATCATTCACTTCAGCCTTGTTTGTAATACTGCCTTTCTTTCTCTTTTTGGTTTTCATCTCTTTATTTTCAATTTTCTCTGCAATAATTTTCAGAGGAATTTTTTTAAATTCTAAAGTTAAAGAAACTATACAAATTTATCTGTTTCCTTACTGGGGTTGGTGGGGCCAAGCACTGTCCTGTCACTTTGCTCATAATGCTATTTTAGGTTCATAAGCAGAACCCAAAGCAGGTCTGCTTGAGCAGGTCTTTTTGGTTGCTTTGCTGCTGTTGCTAAATTTCAAAGGAATCCTACCTTGAATCATTTTTATAATGAAATGTTTGTTAAAGCACCTTCTGGTACTTCAAAGATTTTGCTTTTTTTTGTTTTTGTTTGGATTGTCCTACTGCAAAAAATATCCAGAAATCACTGGAGAAAGTTCTCTGTGTGTTCAAATTCCTGACTTAGCAGTCTTGTCCTTTTGCTAAGTGGAAGCTCAAAAATTCTGTTAAGTCAGTAAAAAGGAAACCAGTCCTGGACAGAACCTAACACACTTTTTACTTAAAAAAGTTTGAGAGTGTAGCTCAGTGGTAAAGCACTTGCCCAGCATGCACGCGGCCTTGGGTTCCATTCTTGGAACAACAGCAAAAAGTTTGAATTGTACATGTTTACAAGTGTGGCCACATAAACCTCCTGCCCTGAGCTCCAGAGAGATCCAAGGTGGGAGGACAAAAGGAGAGTAACTGACTCTCATTGGAAGAAGGACTGATTGGTCACCTACAGAAAAACAGCCACATCAAGTTAAGTGCAAGGGTATGAAGACATACAGGTTCCAAAGGGGCACAGGCCAGGCCTCCCCTGACTCTCTGGAACCCATATGGGGGTGTCTTCTCCTGGTGGATGCTTTGCTTTTGCTCTGACTCCTTAATCATCCACACTCACTAAGAATCAACACCGTCTGTTAGTACCTAAGCCGTATAGGGAACAGGGCCACCTGTAACTTTGAGGTGGACCCACAAAGGAACTCAGGGCCATCCCAGACCACCTGTTCCCCGGCCACCTGTTCCCACCTGGAAACTAACACTGTTTTGTACCCAACGCACCGCGTGTTCCTGGTCTGTTTTTTCTACAATACTGAGAGGGGGCTTAGAATCTAAGTGTGGAGCCCTGCCATTAGTCAGAACTCGACAGACTGTGTATTCCAGAGTGTGCCACTGCACCTCTGTGTCCAGGCAGTCTTGAGGCTTTCTAGTTATCTGCATCTCCGTTCTTTCTATGGAGTATTGCCTGCTCTCTTGCTCTTGGGAACTTGCAAACCCCAGACCTTGGCTTTCTTCTCCCAGAGGTGCCCTGACCTTCTCCCACCGTAGGCTGCGGCCCAGCCACAATGCCTTTAGCTGGCGACTGAAAATTCTCTAGAACCAAACACCAGACACCCTGGGTGGAGGCGGAACCATGCTTTCAACACCCTCCCGGGATTTGCGCCTCACGAGAAATGTGCCCTGGGTCACAGGCAGCCGAGGAGGCGGGGAAGGAACAACTCTCTCCCCCCAACCCCCACTCCCGCCCTCTAACCACAAGCCCCAGGCGCGGCGCGGTCCCACTGATGTACTTCCCCAGCCCGAATCACCGACCCGCACCCGCCCAGCGGCTGGCGGGGAAGGCGGAGGCTGGGGACAAGCGGGGCTTCCTTCTCTCCCCTAGCCGCACCAGACGTTGGAAAAGCAAACAACAGGGGAAACGAGGAGAAACAAAAGGCCTCTCGCCCCGATTTCAGTCGGTTCGGTCGCGCGGTCCCTGAGGGAAAGGATTATTGAAAGGGGTCAGAAAGGGGGATAGGAAGGAATGCTGAGTGGTTTAGGGACTCTAGTACTTTCCAGGCGCTGGAGGTCGACTCTCTACGCCCGCCCCTGTAGGGGTCCAAAGAGGGGGCAAAACAAAGCTGCGGTTTCACCTCTAGGGCAGGGAAAGGAAGGGGGCTGGGATTCCGGATGTTTGACAGTTCTTGGCCCAAGAGTTCGGCAGGATTCGTACGTCCTTTATTCCTTTCCTTCTTCCCTCCCTTCACGAAGCCCCAGCAGCCACGGAGGTGACCCGGTGAAGCCGCGGAGTCCCCTACGCAGTCCTCGTTCGCGATCCGGACGCCCACGCGATGTCCCCCGCCCAGAAGCACTTTTGTAAAAGTTTGTCTTCCCGCCACCCACCGCCCAGCGTGCACCCTGCAGGCACCTAAGATTCCGGATAACTTCGGGAACAGATGTGCAACCTGAAAGAAGGATTTTATTGGTATATCTTTTAATATTAAGGCCACAGATCCCTGGTGGGAAGGAAGTGGACCCCCGTTCCTGCCCGGGAAGTGCGCACCGGGAGCCGGCCAGAAGCCAAAGCGTAGACCCGGGTCAAAGCGGACTCCAACCCCGGAAGCCCGCGAGCGACTGAAGCGGAGCGGGGTCCACCACCTCCCGCCCTCCTCCAGTTGCACTCGGCCCCGGGGCGTCCCGCACCTCTGCCGGCCAGGGCTCAATCGCGAGAGAGGGACCGCGCGTTCGCGCCGCCTCCCCTCGCTTGGCGCGGGTTCTTTATGGTGGGGTTTTACCTTCAGCCCAGGGCCCGGTCGGGGTCAGCAGCAGCCGGCGCGAGAGAAGAGGCGTAAGCTCTATCAGGAAGGGCAGCGCTTGATCCACGTGCGGGCCTTTCTGGCCAGCGCAGCAGAGCTCCAGCTCCAGCCGCAGCCGCTGCAAAGCAGCCCCCACATGTACCCAAGCGCACAGCGCAGCGCTGAGCAGCCGGCCCAACTCCGGATCGCGCGGGGGCGCGGAGAGGGGCCGCCGGCGAGAGGGGCCGCCTGGCGGCCGCCTGTGCAAAAACAACTAGGAGAGGGAGAGAAGTCTGACGGTCTTTGGTATCATCTTCCCTCCCGGAAAGACATGGGACATGTGCAATCTAAGGGGGTTCTCAACCTTGCAGAAAAGACGCCGACCCTCGGGCCAGGGCGTCAGGAAAGATGCTGCGTGAGAAAGGATGCGTTTGGGTCCAGAGCAGCCACTTCGAAGGCCTCCAGAGAAAGACAAATGGCTTACCTCCTCCAAAATCTTCAAGTTGCTGAAAAATACCATGGACTGACTGACACAGATCGGAGCATAAATCATTGGGAAATGCTTTAAGTTCCTAGAAAAAGCTGGGAGTAATGGAATGACCATGATCTTTGAAGCAAAACTGGAGCCTGCCACTTTCTCATTGAACGACGACGTTGGCCTACCTTCAACCTTGAGGGCTCAGTGTCCTCCTGCGTAAACTGGGGGAGCAATTATCAACCCACAGGATGATTCTGAAGGGTAAATTACATATAAAAAGCATTCTTAGTTCATGGTAGGAGTCTTCAAATGTGAGCTCCCTGCCTTCCTGAGGAAAATAATTGGATTTTGCATACCTTTCCTTATGATGGCATCTTGGTGCATACTGACCGAGGAGTACCAAATGACTATTGGATTTTATAATTCTTACTACACATTTTATGGTTTGGAAATATTATTCAGTAGAATTTAGGAATATGTAATTTCCACACCTCACCTCCTGCCAGCCTTCCCATCACAAATGCCTCTATTCATGATGCCCTCCTTGGCTGCCAAAAGTGACAAGGAAACTCCTACCACAGGGCCTTAATACTTGGTGTGCCCTCTGTCTGCAAGACTTCCTGAATGCTCAGCTTCTTCATGGCTAAGACACTACCTCACTTTCTTCAACTCTTTTCTCAACAGTCAGAGGCCTCCCTTTTCAGCCCTATTTAAAAGCACAACCCTGCCATTCCAGCACTCAGGAGACTGAGGCAGGAGGATCGCTGCGAGTTTGAGGCCAGCCTGGGTTACACAGTGATTAGTTTTCTCTGACTACAGAACAAAATACCATTAACTTAATGGCTTAAAACAATACAAATTTACTATAGTACTGGAGGTTAGATGTACAATACAGCTTTCATTGGGCTAAAATAAAGATTGTAGCAGGGCTGAATTCCTTTTTGAAGTCCATAGGAACTCATTTTCTGGTTTTTGCCGGCTTCTGGAGGCCACCTGCATTCTTTGCCTTGTAGTCCTTTTTCTCCTTTTCAAAGCCAGTGATGAAAGGTCAAATCCTTTTATTGCATCACTCTGACCTTTCTGACTTTCTCTTCTGCTTATATGGACCCTACTCATTACATTGGGCCCATCCAGATTTATCTATGTTAATGTCAGCTGACTGGCAAACTTAATTCCATCTGCAACCAATTTCCCTTTGCCAGGTAATGTAACACATTCACAGGTTATGGGGAATGTTGTGTAATCTTTGGGGGCCATTATTCTGTCTCCACACACTTACTTTTTTTCTATTTAAATGAATGCATACTGCATGAAACAGGAATTTTTGACATGTAGTTTATTGCTGTATCCTTAGGTTAGATTGATAAATGTGTAGGTGTTTATACGGACTGAATTAATTGTGTTGCCTCAAAATGCATATGTTGAAGCCTTAGCCCCCAGGGTGATGGTATCTGGAGACAAGACTTTTGGTAGATAATTTGGGCTGATGGGGTCATGTGGATTGGTAAGGTCTTCATTATGAGATTAATGGGAAAAAAAGATGAAGCCTAAGAAGAAGACAAGGAAGAGAAACAGGAGGCAGAGGAGATGAAAGAAGGGGAGTGAAAGGCAGAGGAGGTAGGAGAAAGAGGAGGAAGAGAAGGAAGGGGGAGGCAAGGGGAAAAGAACATTTTCCCCATCATGTAAAGACACAAAGAATGTACTAGGAACCAAAGTGGCTGGTAACCCTGGGTCTCACCCTGAAGATTCTTACAGTCTAATAAGAATTATGAGAGAACCACAAACAGCAAGAGTACAAAGAAGACTATGAGAGGGGTAGGAATTTTTTAAAGGCACAATAAACTTCTGTGGAGCACAGAGACAGGAAAAGATGAAACCTGAACTGAAACAATCTGGCAGAAGTTTGGGGATGATGGGACATTTGAACTGAACTTGAAAGTGGTGGACATTGTTGGAGTTAAGTAGGAAAGTCATTTCAGACGTAAACTCCAAACCACAGGAATAGAACTACAGGAAGGCAGAAAAAAATGTGAGATGTGTTCCAGAAACCAAGATTAACCTGCTTGGTATGAGGACTAGGCATATAGTTAGATAACAAGGGCTGGATCCCAAATGCTAGGCTAAAGATCAAACACATTTAATGATTTTTGTTAGCAGTTATTAATGGAGAAAAATTACGTGGAGCAACTGTGAAAGGAATGTCTGAAGCTGTAACTCAAACAGCAACAAATAAAAGAGAAAAATATACTTCTTGCTTGGGTAAAATGTTTTCAGTGACTGTTGACTCCACCCATAATTCTGAGTCCAGAGCATATATCTTAAATTCATAAAGTTATAAAAGAACAGAAGTGGGCAGTGAGAGCAACTAGCCCATTCCTGACCTTTGAACAGGCATTTCCATTTTATAGATGAAATGACTGGCTGGGACAATTAAGTGACTCACACAACTATAAGACTGAAGACTGATTCTGGTCTTCTAAGTATTCTGTGTATTTTGATACATATGTGGAACAGGCCACAAAGGGAACAATTGTCCAAGATGAAGTTGTCAGCTTTTAGGCTGCATCAGAGAATCTTCTCCAGGTTCAGAGGGAATCAATCTGAGGAATCAGGGGGCATTCGTGAATCTTGACTGCAGGATCTCTCTGGGAAAAGAGAGGGGCCAGGCTCACCTGAAGGATTTCAGAGAGACAGAGACATGCATTAAGGGAATCCCCTTCAGAGTCAGAGAGACCCATAATAGCTGACTCCTACTTCTCTGCACCTCTGTAACTCATCCATTATAAAATGGAGATAAGAATATAGGAAATTAGCTGGGCACATCTGTGATCCCAGCACTCAGGAGGCCAAGGCAGCAGGATTGCTGTGAGTTTGAGGCCAGCCTATGCTATATAATAAATTCAAGACCAGCCTGAACTACACAGTGAGATCTTATCTCAAACAAAACAAAACAAAACAATATAGTTGTATGTATTTGATGAAGAAATGTATCTAACTGGCTTAGCCCCGTGCCTGTCACTGGTAAGTGTTCAAGGAAAACCATTTATTGGTCTTTCCAACATTTAGTTCTCAGTCCACCCACATGGAGCCCTACCTTCATGAGAGTAAGAGATCCCAGCATATGTTACAGTCACATTGAATCCAGAAGCTTCACTGTCACCGTTGGGATGGCATCTCCCAGAATTGGGAATAAGAAGACAGTATTTCCAAGGGGTTTGGTATAGAATGAATAACATTCAGTTCTCCGACCAAGTCAATATAAATTAATTTCCATCTTTCCAATGCACACTTTATACATTTCCTCTAAAGGGAAATGACACTGTGAGAAAAATCCCCAAAGGTTCTGTTATCAAACCACTTTCTTACAGCTTCCACTCAGAAAGCACCAAAAGAGCAAAACAGTATTGGAAAGGTGCCATCATAGTGATATCATAACATCTGATGATGTGAGGAGTACAGGTGACGAAGTGTGTTTGCCCAGCTACTGACAATCGTGGACTCCCGATTGTACTGCAGTGGACAGCAGTGCTCAGGATTCACATTTGGTGAGAAGGTGATCTTGCTCATTTTTACTAAATCTGATTACTTAGTGTCACTGTGCTTGTGGGGTGCTAAATTATAACTATTACATGCAGATGACCAACAAACAGCTGGCATTCTCAAAGTCCATCCCCTTCATATCAAGCAAGGACAGTTCACAAATCTGAGTGCCTAGCACATGTTCAACAGTAAGACACACTTCCTTTGACCTGCTTTGATTTTGTTTTCAAGACCCTGACTAATCACAGGGCTCAAGAGATTGTCTCAGTGTTCTAGGTGAGCAACTGTGACAACAGAATTTATGGTAATGAACTCTGGGTCCTGGAAATGAAATATGCATGGCTCCTCCTAAACACTGAAGTAATTAATGGCAATTATAACCATGACAAGAAGCATGTACTATCTTATGCCTTGTTTTCTGCTAGTACAATCTTCACTATTTTAACAATAATGACACTGGATGTCTATAGTAATCTCTTCTAAAATCCACATTACATCAATCACATTTTGCAGAAGTGGAACTGAGGCATACAGAGGTCAGAATTGGAAGCCAGGATAAACTATAACACTGTTCAAAGCTGCATCAGTGGCAGTTGCTCAAAATGGTGGTTTCAAATCATTAGAGACATTTTTCTATCCTTAATTTTACAAAAAAAAGTGAAATAAATAAAAGTGAAATAAATAAAGTGAAATAAATAAAGTGAATGCTCTTTCCGAAGTTATTTTTTAAATACTTTTATTGTAAAGAGACTATACTTATTGCTTCTGATTTTAGGATTTTATTGATCATATCATAGTGATCCAATGCACCTTCATATCTCCCTACTAAATAGACCCTATTTGTGTGTGCGTGTTTGATATGAATCTTTAATGACATGAGCCATATCTTTCAAGACATGAGCTTGATGTTTTTTCTCTGGTTTAACACAAGCCAGGTGTGGTATACTGGTGATCTGCCTCAGTTCTCCAAATTATGGAGAGGAACTCACTCAGGTTGGCTTAGATAGGATCCATACAGTTAGTTGCCAGGAGAAACAGAGTCTAAGGTAGTTACATCTAAAGACACCCTAGCCTAGACCTCAAGGTTCATTCTAGAGTGAATGTTTAGCATCTTTCAAAAAAAGGAAAATCAGAAAACTGTGTGCTAAGTGGATTTGGCATGTCATGCTCATAACAGAAGAAGAGGCTAATGTGCCATGGATGCTTCCCACTTGACATAACTTCCTTTATCGTCCAAACAGAAAAATCATGAGGGTCTCCGACAGACTCTCAGTTTAATAAACACAGTATTACTACTTTTGTGATCAATGCTCACTACCATTACCAGAAGCCATATCACCCTGATGGCAAAAGCAGAAAGGTCTCTTGCATTTCCTTAGCTCTTCTTGAATGCCTGAGAGAAAGAAATAAAGGAAATAAACTTTTCTACTCTCGGACTGAAGGTAGCTTTTTATGA